AAGCCACTTCTCTCCAGGAAAAACATCAGGGACAGACTGATATTCTGCAAAAGGTACAGGGATTGGACTGCTGAGGACTGGGGTAAAGTCATTTTCTCAGATGAATCCCCTTTCCGATTGTTTGGGGCATCCGGAAAAAAGCTTGTCCGGAGAAGACAAGGTGAGCGCTACCATCAGTCCTGTGTCATGCCAACAGTAAAGCATCCTGAGACCATTCATGTGTGGGGTTGCTTCTCAGCCAAGGGAGTGGGCTCACTCACAATTTTGCCTAAGAACACAGCCATGAATAAAGAATGGTACCAACACATCCTCCGAGAGCAACTTCTCCCAACCATCCAAGAACAGTTTGGTGACGACCAATGCCTTTTCCAGCTTGATGGAGCACCTTGCCATAAGGCAAAAGTGATAACTAAGTGGCTCGGGGAACAAAACATCGACATTTTGGGTCCATGGCCAGGAAACTCCCCAGACCTTAATCCCATTGAGAACTTGTGGTTGATCCTCAAGAGGCGGGTGGACAAACAAAACCCCACAAATTCTGACAAACTCCAAGCATTGATTATTCAAGAATGGGCTGCCATCAGTCAGGATGTGGCCCAGAAGTTAATTGACAGCATGCCAGGGCAGATTGCAGAGGTCTTGAAAAAGAAGGGTCAACACTGCAAATATTGACTCTTTGCATAAACTTAATGTAATTGTCAATAAAAGCCTTTGACACTTATGGAATGCTTGTAATTATACTTCAGTATACCATAGTAACATCTGACAAAAATATCTCATAACACTGAAGCAGCGAACTTTGTGAAGACCAATATTTGTGTTATTCTCAAAACCTTTGACCGCGACTGTACGCTTGGGGTCATTGTCCATTTGGAAGACCCATTTGCGACCAAGCTTTAACTTCCTGACTGATGTCTTGAGATGTTGCTTCAATATATCCACATAATTTTCCTTCCTCATGATGCCATCTATTTTGTGAAGTGCACCAGTCCCTCCTGCAGCAAAGCACCCCCACAGCATGATGCTGCCACCCCCGTGCTTCACGGTTGGGATGGTGTTCTTCGGCTTGCAAGCATCCACCTTTTTCCTCCAAACATAACGATGGTCATTATGGCCAAACAGTTCTATTTTTGTTTCATCAGACCAGAGGACATTTCTCCAATAAGTACGATATTTGTCCCCATGTGCAGTTGCAAACCGTAGTCTGGCTTTGCTTTGCCGGTTTTGGAGCAGTGGCTTCTTCCTTGCTGAGCAGCCTTTCAGGTTATGTCAATATAGGACTTGTTTTACTGTGGATATAGATAATTTTGTACCTGTTTCCTCCAGCATCTTTATTTGCACTTTTCACACCAAAGTACGTTCATCTCTAGGAGACAGAACGCGTCTCCTTCCTGAGCGGTATGACGGCTGCGTGGTCCCATGGTGTTTATACTTGCGTACTATTGTTTGTACAGATGAACGTGGTACCTTCAGGCGTTTGGAAATTGCTCCCAAGGATGAACCAGACTTGTGGAGGTCTACAATTTTTTTCTGAGGTTTTGGCTGTTTTCTTGATGTCAAGCAAAGAGGCACTGAGTTTAAAGGTAGGCCTTGAAATACATCCACAGGTACACCTCCAATTGACTCAAATGATGTCAATTAGCCTATCAGAAGCTTCTAAAGCCATGACATCATTTTCTGGAATTTTCCAAGCTGTTTAAAGGCACAGTCAACATAGTGTATGTAAACTTCTGACCCACTGGAATTGTGATACAGTGAATTAAAAGTGAAATAATCTGTCTGTAAACAATTGTTGGAAAAATTACTTTCGTCATGCACAAAGTAGATGTCCTAACTGACTTGCCAAAACTATAGTTTGTTAACAAGAAATTTGTGGAGTGGTTGAAAAACTAGTTTTAATGACTCCAACCTAAGTGTATGTAAACTTCCGACTTCAACTGTAAATACAAACACTACATGCCCAAACCAAAAGTATGTGGACACCTGCTCGTTGAACATCTCATTCCAAAATCATGGGCATTAAAATGGCATTGGTCCCCCCTTTGCTGCTATAACAGCCTCCAGTCTTCTGGGAAGGCTTTCCACTAGATGTTGGAACATTGATGCAAGGACTTGCTTCCATTCAGCCACAAGAGCATTAGTGATGTTGGCCGATTAGGCCTGGTTCGCAGTCAGCGTTCCAATTCATCCCAAAGGTGTTCGATGGGGTTGAGGTCAGGGTTCTGGCCAGCCGAGTCAAGTTCTTCCACACCGATCTCGACAAACCATTTCTGTATGGACCTCGCTTTGTGCACGGGGCATTGTCATGCTGAAACAGGAAAGGGCCTTCCCCAAACTGTTGCCACAAAGTTGGAAGCACAGAATCGTCTACAATGTCATTGTATGCTGTAGCATTAAGATTTCCCTTCACTGTAACTAAGGAGCCTAGCCCAAACCATGAAAAATAGCCCCAGACCATTATTCTTCCTCCACCAAACTTTACAGTTGGCCCTATGCATTCGGGCAGGTAGCGTTCTCCTGGCATCCGCCAAACCCAGATTTGTCCATCGGGCTGCCAGATGGTGAAGCGTGATTTATCACTCCAGAGAACGCGTTTCCACTGCTCCAGAGTCCAATGGCGGCGAGCTTCTATTCTATTTTTTGGCCAGACAACATCAGATACATGGGCTATATAAAGTAAGACAGAGGGGCGCTGTTTTGCTCACTCGGATGCTTTCTCCGGTGAGATAGTTTCATCCACTTGCGAATTGAAGGGAAGTGCACTATTCGGATGCTGTAATTGTTTTGGATGGGGGGGCTCTGCTTAGGACCTCTGCCTCCAAACCATTAAGTCCACCCTTGTGTGTAGCTGGCTACGTAGTTTAAATATCAACAGTACTGCCACAGCAGCATAACATTTGATTGACACTTGATTTAGCCTACATCATCATCGATATTCAGTCTGGTTGGCTGCGGCAGAAAGACAGGTTCATCACAATCAGTAAAATAAATCGAGCTAGCTAACTAGCAAACATATTTTTTATAACTAAACCAAGATAGACCACAGCCTGTCGTTTCCGATGGGAACAAATGAGCCATAGTGGGCAGAACAAGCAAGGAGGGGGGCAGAGCCAAGCACGAGTTAGCGAGATCCTATTGGCGGGTTCTAGCATCACCTTCATATTTCCGTTAGGGAACGCCTACTCTGTGGAGTGCGCGTGTGCAATAACTCAATTCGCCTGTGCACTCCTAAACAACGCGATTTTAAAAAACGTTTGCAAAGGGTAAAGTCTACAAACCTTAGTCCACTCTGTTCATAACATATTCTAGTTTTGGGAACAGAAAACTATATTGAGATCAAATTTTTCATCGATGAGAAAATGTGCAGAATGTCGGCCAAAATCCATCTCGTTCCATCTTCTCCCACTGCCCGCCAGTGGACTTCCTCTCACTACCATACTTGGTAGTGAGGGGAAACGCCAAGCGGATGCTTCACATTTAAACATCCAGTGAAATATCTGTCTCATTGTTCTGTGTAGCAGATTTACATCAATCAACGATCAGCCGATAGCCGACCGTCTTTTCCCGATGTCATTCATGTCTTTAGGAGGCACTGTAACTAGCTTGCTTACAATTTGTGATGTGTGTTGCAGAAATAAAGGCCTATGATCAAAAATATAAAACATTTTACTACCGAGGCATTTGGTATGATATGAATTATGAAAGTTAAAAAAGCACCTTCCCCCTGAAAGGTCCGTGCATGGCCCTGACTGTGACACTATCATAGCCTGGTCCCAGATTTGTGCCTTTGTCAAGTCCCATGGTTGTCATGGTTGGCAATGGTAGCCGTTGTCATGGTAGCCGGCTAATGCCATGGATGACGAAAATGACATTGATCATATTTTGGGGGACACATTTCAGTGCGACTTAGTTATCTGTGGTAGATATGAGAATATAGCCCTAAAGCAAATCCAAGGCCTTTATTTTCATAATAATTTCATTATGATTGTGGGTGAAAAAAAAGCATGGAGGCATACTCAAGATGTTGTTGGTATTTATTTAACACTGTCAGGTACACAGTTTGTCTGTTCCAACACCATCATCGGAAGACTACTATTCCTTGTACAATGCATTTATATTTTTTCACCAAAGCATTTGTATTAAGAGGGATGTTGAATTGTGTGCAGGACATGTTACCTTCCACATTCTCTTTAGGAAAAATTGACAGAGGTTTGTCTTAAACGTCACAGGTGGGCTAAGTATTCAAGAACATTGGTCAAATAATATTTTTGCAATATGTAACAAAAGACAAAATTCACACCAAATGCACAGACAAGGACAAGTGAGACAAAAAAACACAGATGCTTTGTCCCAAATGGCATCCTATTCCCTAAAAGTAGTGCCCTATATAGGGAACAGTGCCATTTGGAACGAATCCTGGATGTACACAACAGGGTTTTAGTGCCTCAGAGCTACTGCTGCTTAAGTGAAGGACCACGAACCCATCCCATAATAATATATCTTAGACACTTCCCTTTGTCAGAGGGTTTACAATGAGAGAACTCTTCAGTACAGAGGAATATATCACCTTGGCCAAGGAATGTTGTGATCAGTACCAGTGATCTGTGTCGTGCAACAGCCCCACCTTGTGTACAGAAAGTAAACTAAGTTTACTAAATCCTGCAAAGCCCACGTGTTTTTTGACCTACAGTATCTTATTTTCTCTTATCCTTATTGAAACAAAGATAAATAAATTAGTGTTTACATGATTGTAGTGAAATACAAATGCACAAGACCTTAACAGAGCTTTTCCATTTCTACATTTTGCGGACTCTACCTTTAAAACATGTTATAGTTTTATTCTAAACTGGGCTCTGTATTCCAAAAAAAGTGGCATATCAACTGTAGCGTGATTTGACCGCCTGTGCCGCCTCACCTTAACCATAGCACATCTACTATAAGGGAAACAAGGTTGTGAGGATAGCTATTTCAATCAAATATTTGTTGTTGCATTCCATGACTTATGCCTCAAACTCGAGTCCAAGGCCAAGCTTGTGCCCACCGGTGTTAATGTTTTTCCCATCCAGCAGAGCAGAGAGGGTCAGCTTAATTCCTGCAGACGGGGACAAGGCATCAGAAATGGGACTTTGGCAGGAGTTACAAGTGGGGGGGCCAGTATGAAAAATGTATGCACTCACTAACTGTAAGTCGCTCTGGATAAGAGCATCTGCTAAATGACTAAAATGTAAATTCAAAAAAGATCAGGGCTCACTGACAGGCTGAGGAGGTCAAGTGCCTACTGCTGTTCTGCCCTAATACAGTAGAATGGCATTACAACTGTTTTTTACTGCACGTTTCATCAAGACGTCACTGGCATGGAGGAAAATAATGTAAAAGAATAAAAGAATACTCACCAGGCTTCAGAGTCTGAGTGTATCCCAGGCCCACAAGGCTAGAATTGTTCACTTTGGCCTGTAGGAGAAACATGAAATGCCAACGTTTTGGATTCAATCAAAAGGTACTTAAATACAACAATGCCTCAAGATAATGTTAAACTGATTAGCCTAGTAGCTCTCTCTACTCGTGCCCTGAACATGACCTCAGGCAGAGGTCAAGTCTCAGCCAGTGAGGACTAGCTAGAGTGGCCTCTTACCGAGAAGGCTGCGTCGGCATCGATCTGGTACTTGGCTGCGATGCCAAAGCGGGTGTTGCTGTTGCCAGCGGTCCAGGCCAGGTTGACTGCTGTCTCCAGCTGGTCGTTCACCTTCTGGTAGATGGACCCCCCGAACTCGGTGCCGTCATTTCTTTCATGAAAAACATGCTTATTCATCACTATGAGGATGATACTTTGAATACACAAGGCTGTGGGAACTAACATGCATGTATGTATGCAAGTATACTGCAACATCCAAATCCATTCCAATACTCATAGCATACCATGCCCTTGTGCATTATCATAAAAATAAATACTGCTTTACAGAATATCCATTATCAATACAAAAACATGAATTACCTTTCACATACATTGCAATCGGAAGATCAATGTCACAATCTTAACTATCAAACTATTAGACCTACAGGTAACTGCCAAAATAATGGAAACACCTGAGTAAATGAGGGATACAAAGTATATTGAAAGCAGGTGCTTCCGCAGAGTTGTGGTTTCTGAGTTAATTAAGCAATTAACATCCCATCATGCTTAGGGTCATATATAAAAAAAAGCTGCCCATTATTTTGGCTACCATGGCTATGCCCCCATAGGATGACAATACCCCCATCTACAGGGCATGAGTGGTCACTGAATGGTTTGATGAGCATGAAAACAATGTAAACCATATGCCATGGCTGTCTCAGTCACATTTACATTTAAGTCCAGATCTCAATCCAATTGAACACCTATGGGAGATTCTGGAGCGGTGCCTGAGACAGCGTTTTCCACCACCATTAACAAAACAGCAAATAATGGAATTTCTTGTGGAAGAATGGTGTCGCATCCCTCCAATAGAGTTCCAGACACTTGTAGAATCTATGCCAAGGTGTATTAAAGCTGTTCTGGCTCGTGGTGGCCCAACGACCTATTAAGACACTTTATATTGGCGTTTCCTTTATTTTGGCAGTTACCTGTATATATCAAGGATGAGCTGTCAAAGGATTAAAGAGCAATGTCTCAGAGCTAATTGACCTTGTCAAAACAAGTGATCATGACTGGGAGGACAGGTCACAGCAGGAAGTTAGCTTACTTTACTATCCTTCCTGTCCACCTTCCTCTTCTGACAAAGCCCTTTCACAAATCCCATCACCGTGGGATACAGTGGTACTAAAATAACTGCCAGTCTGCATCTGAGGGGGCCAGACAGACAGCTAGTGCTTAGTTGCTATTGTCCAGACAAGGTCAGCTCTCACAGAGCTGGACACATTTTACTCACTAGTGGTTTAAAAGGCTCGGTTGGTTGGAGCATGGTAGGTCTGATAGCTAAATATGTGTATGTGACCAATAAAATGTGATTTGAGGTTTGCAACACTCAGTTGGGGGTATTCCTCCTGAATGAGCCACATACACAAAATGCTTAAAATCACTGTATATCGACCCTAAAGACCATGTTCAGGGTCCTTAAGCACCATCACTGGATTACTGTCATTGTTGTTAAGCCCCACGTTACTGGCTTACTGTCATTGTTGTAAAGCCACGTCTTACTTCCATTGTTTGCTGAAGCGTGGCGGCCTACCTGAACCATATTTCTGTATCTATTAATTTCATGTCATCTACTTACACATTTGTGTGGAGCTGGAACTCGTCGGTCTTGTAGCCCACGGCGAAGTTGCTCTGGGTGACCCTGTTCTTCCCGGCCTCGAAGGTCACCTGGTAGCCGGCCAGCCAGCCCTCGTAGCCCACCACCGCCACGCCGTGCACTGCCGTCCCGTTGATGTCATAGTCCACATCACAGCCCAGGTTGATGTGCTCCCTCTTGTAGCCAGTCTTGATCTTACCACTCTTCTTGCTGAAGCAGAGAGGTGAGGGATGGTGGAAGGACAACTTGTCAGTGTGAGGTAATATAGGGAATGGGACTAGTGTCAGAATGGCAAGACACATCCAATTACCTATATTGAGCAGGGAATTCCTTTTCATAATGTTTTGTGTGATGACATTTATTTCAATTCAATAATGTTTTGTTTTTTTAAAGCAATTAAACGCTATCTTCACTGAATTAATTGGATAGCCACTTCTTACCCAGTGTTTGGCGAGAAGGAGGAATCAAACGTCAGTTTAAGCCCTTTGGCCAACTGAGGGGAGATGGTTAGAGAAAGAGAGAGAGAGATGGAGAGGTTAAGAAAGCATGATTGATTCATAATTAAAAAGTAACTTTCATGAAGAAGAAAAGATTATCATCCAAAACCAGATATTTTAGGCTTAGCTATAGTGGTCTTCATTTTGACAGTACATTCCAAAAGTTATATATTTTGGTGTTTTAGTAGTAAATCAACTATTTTTGCCCCTAGCGGTTCAACTCTACCATTGAAATCGTGACGTAGGGGCACCTACATCATCTCAAGGGAGGGGTTCGGTATGAAATCCACTCCCTTCTAGATGTGCTGGGTGGTACCACCTCAAGGCTTACTATAAAAGCAGGCAATGGTATTGGTAAGTGGAGTGTGCCAATATATTTTGTATGATGCTTCCTTGACAAGACTGCTGACTTTACACAAAATTAAAAAGGTAGTAAGGCACATTTCCAACTATGACTAAATTCAAGGTTTTTGCTTACCGTTTCATACACATCTATGTGCTTTTACGAAGAAAAAAAACATGTAGGCTATGAGGATTAAGTTCATATTCGTAGCTACAACCATCGTAACAACAAATAGATTTTGTCCCCAATTGCTATGACTGATTGGTGGCGCAGTCCGCAAAAAAACACAGTTCACTCATATTACAATGGCTGAGTTCTAATCCCACAGATTATCCTTTATTTACAATATTCATCCCGTGTCCACACACTTCTAATTCTGAAAAGTGAAAGCATACCTGTGAAAGGGTTCACCCTGGTAGTAGTTGTATGTTTTTATACAGTACCCAATAGTTAATTTGACCATTAAAAAAAGAGCTACTGCGTAAATAATGCAATGTGGGTTGGATTGAGCCCCTAATATTAATTTTCAAGGTGATAATTGCATTTTTCTTCCCAACACCACAATAAATGCGAGTCCACATTTCAAATATATATTTTTTGTGCCCGATGTGGGATTCGAATTTACACCGCCAGTGGCAATAGTTGTCAGAAACTCTGCGGTTTACCACTGTGAGCCAACTGTCCAGAGCCATATTTGCTCGCGATCCACATAATTTTATTATCAGAGCGTGCCAGTGGACTTCAGGTAAGTATGCTTTAGCGAGAAAGTGTTGAGATCAGGTACAACTACGTTTACCCACCCCCAAAATTAATATTTATGAGCAATTCCCCCTACCCACAACTTCTCACCTGAATATATTTTATTTATTTATTTGAAGGTGTTGGGCAAAGGCTGAAATTGGGGTTGAGAGTTACCCTTTAAAAAAGGTCCCAAACAGTAATTCTGAGTCACATGTAAAATAGCCTTTTGAGTGACTAAAATATAAAATAATATTTGTTTTGGATAGAAATGCTAAAAGTAAAAAGTACTTTCTCTCATGGCTAACTACCAGGAAGTTTGAAAAGACAGGCTAAGTGGGCAGGGAGCTTATATTCATGAGCTCGCCTTGACTAACAGCTCTTTGAAACACCTATGTCAAGCAACTTGGATGCAGTGAGCTGTGTTGCAGGAAAATAATCTCAAGCAAATTTGGTGATACACAAAGCAACTCAAACAACATTCAAATTGCACCAATGATGTCATGTTTTATTACATTTTTTGTACATCTCCCGTTTGGCATGTCTCTTGTGATGCGGTTAACAGCAGCACTGCTGGATGTGTTGACATGACAACAGTGTCAGAGTTTTGAACGACCTTTCCCCCTTCCCTTTTGTTCCATGCTGGCTGAAGACCTAGCTAGCCAGTAACTAGCCAACACCAGACACAGATGAAGACCTAGCTAGCCAGTAACTAGCCAACACCAGACACAGATGAAGACCTAGCTAGCCAGTAACTAGCCAACACCAGACACAGATGAAGACCTAGCTAGCCAGTAACTAGCCAACACCAGACACAGATGAAGACCTAGCTAGCCAGTAACTAGCCAACACCAGACACAGATGAAGACCTAGCTAGCCAGTAACTAGCCAACACCAGACATAGATGAAGACCTAGCTAGCCAGTAACTAGCCAACACCAGACATAGATGAAGACCTAGCTAGCCAGTAACTAGCCAACACCAGACACAGATGAAGACCTAGCTAGCCAGTAACTAGCCAACACCAGACATAGATGAAGACCTAGCTAGCCAGTAACTAGCCAACACCAGACACAGATGAAGACCTAGCTAGCCAGTAACTAGCCAACACCAGACACAGATAAAGACCTAGCTAGCCAGTAACTAGCTAACACCAGACACAGATGAAGACCTAGCTAGCCAGTAACTAGCCAACACCAGACACAGATGAAGACCTAGCTAGCCAGTAACTAGCCAACACCAGACACAGATGAAGACCTAGCTAGCCCGTAACTAGCCAACACCAGACACAGATGAAAGGGGAAACATAAGTATCTTCGCCATAGATGAACAGGGTAAACTTTTAATTATATTTTCTGACACCCTACAGCCAAATTTTGGCACCAGTAGAGTAGCTATCTAGCTATATAAACCACACCCCTCTGCAAACACGCCTTCTACGATATTGGTTACAAGGCGGTACTTATATAAATGAGGTAAGAGAATATCATGTTACCATTGGTGTATTAAAATGAGAGTTATGGTGATGTCACCTTAATCCCTTTAATAATCCCGCCTCCTGAATCCAAGCGTTTGACACAGGTTGAGGGGACCAGTAACTTTATGATCAAACTTTATCAATGTAGAAGCAACAGTCATTTGTCATACTTTGGTCATTACACTTTGATCTGGTTTCATCCAAATATCATCCAATTTCATGAAAAATATTTTGACTGTTCATGAATTTCTGAGACAGTTGGAAAGAATGATTAAGAAAGCATGGTTATGTGATGAAAGATATATTGCTATGAGCATTTCACCACTTAATAGGGTGGGGGGGCCCCATAGGGAACAGACTCCCACACACCAGACTAAACATGTGAAGTTATGGAAATATAGGCCTATGCCTACTGTCTTAAAATATATAATAAATCAATGAAACTGCATCAAGTCATTGAGTGCTGGTCTTTTTTATATTTACACTATGGGATTACTATGAGAACGGCTCATAATAATGGCCGGAACGGGGCAAATGGAATGGCATCAAACACCTGGAAACCATGTGTTTGACACCATTCCACTGATTCTGCTCCAGTCATTACCACAAGCCCGTTCTCCCCAATTAAGGTGCCATCAACCTCCTGTGATGGGATTGCTCCTTGGCTTATAGCACCCTTCTAACAATTGCTGATTGAAGAAAACAGAGTTGAGTAGATTGCACCCTGATCTAAATAACACCTGATCCTAACCTGGTCCTCCACAGTGATCTCGGTGCCCAGAGTGTTGTCAGTGTTCCACTTCTCAGTGAAGGTCAGCCCGTGCTCAGCCCACTTGTACTTGGTCTCCAGGGTGCCGGCCACTTTGCTGGTCTCAGTGTTGGCAGAGCCTGTGCTGGTGAACTCCTGGGATTGGGGTCAAACAGAGGTCAATGGTGAGATGTGACCATGTTATAAAGCAAAGTCGCATCAGATACCATCAGTGAGGATTTGGATGGTTGAGGATTACATGGGCCAAATATTATCAGTGCCTAGGCTATGTGTTTGAATGTATTCAAGTATAAATATGTTATAGTATGTTTTCCTTTGCAGATAGTGAAATAATCTAAAGTGACGCTGACAATCACAGAGGTCTTTCACAGTTGGCAATGAGTCAGATAACTAGTGGCCCTCTAAGTTGTATGGTGACAGAGGGCTAGATAACTACTTAAATTATAGCACTCTGAGTCAAGTGCCCCTTTAGGCTCCAAGGGGTAATCGGACCAACTCTGCAGTGGATCTCACCAGTCCATTCTCTGACTTGGTTTTCAAATCCAGCTTGATGAGACCAAAACCTGAGAGGCATGGAAGAAAATTAAATCAAACTGTTGTAATTACAATACATTCTTGGAATGCTCTTCAAACTGATGATACATTTCTGTTCAGTTAATTATTTTCACTAACATTCCTGACAATCCGTAAACACGTGGCTTCTAATTGTTTCCATAATACACATGTAGTCTCGTGGAGACTTATTTTACCACCTCATAAACCACTGTTCAATAAATCCCTGTCTGAGAAATACTAGCCTAGAACTACATCCATTAGAACTATTACATAACATTGCTAGATTGAGTGAGTGTATTGATTTGATGTGGTTTCTATGCTAGACAGTACACAGTCACATCAGGCGTCAGCCACGGTTCACAGCCCCAGCTTCCTTCCCACCCCCCTCTGGGAGTCAGTGTGCTGGTCAGTCCCACCCTCGCCTAGGAAGTACTATGGCTAACCCCAAGTGCTATTCAAGGCCCTTTTACCTGGGAATACCCATAGTACGGCCTGAGCCTCACTGTCTCTGTGCAGCTGTGTGTCTCCCAGTCAATACACTGCCCAAGGACAGCCAGTCTAAACTAGAGAGTTCACCAAATGGATAGAACACTAGGCTAGGCTACAGTCCATTCCAAATTATCTGCAGGTCAGAAGCAAAGGCTGAGTAGAAGGATAGTGAGTAGTAGTACTGCTCAGTGCTCACCGTATCCCTTGGTGAAGACATCCTTGGCGGACTTGCCAAGGTCAACATAGGTAGGAGGAACGGCCATTATCTGTAAAAAATAAATAAAAATAAAAATAAAAAAAAGTATATATATATATATTTTTTTTAAGAGAGCCTTGTGTTAGGCTACTGCTTAAGCACAAACACAGATGGAACAATGAGACAGATATTTCCTGGATGTATAAATGTGAAACATCCGCCGTTCTGCCCACTATGACTCATTTGTTCCCATTAGAAATGACGGGCTGTGGTCTATCTTGGTTTAGTTATAAAAATCTTTGGCACAAACCTTCGTGCAACGGCAATGACATAAAGAACTAGCAGTGTGCTGGGCCTTCAGTGATACACCGAGGAAGGCTGGGGAGAGAACACTGCTGGTGGGGGACGTGGGAGAGGAGAGGATGGATGGAGGTCATTGATGGATAGGGTAGGCGGGTGGGGGGAAGCAGGCAGGCATGCGCACACGTGCCTGGACGGACTCACCCGTTTGATCTGACTCGTCCGAAAAACAATGATGTGCTTGCCTTGCCGGGCTAGAGATTTCACAATAGCCTAAACTTGGACTGACAGCAAAAACGCAAAACGGGGCCATCTCAACAATAGACAAGTGATTTCTAAATTGCAGATTAGAAGGGTTTTATTATTTGTTAGATGTGACCTCCACTCCACTCCACTCCTGCTATGTAAGAACGGGTGGGCAGAGATTTCCATGTTAAAAACATAAGGAAATACCTGCTTGTTGCAGATTCCAAAAAGGATGCCGGCAGATTGTTGGGCGGTTTAACGGACAAAGATTAAGCCTAATCCTGGAATTAAAACCATTTTCAAATGACATTCTCCATTGGTCTTGCTTTTTAGTCCAAGACTAGGCTTAAACTGGAACACTTGCCCTCTACCCATGTGTGCACAATGCTAGTTTGCAAATAGAGTATAGCCCAAAGGCCTGTTTTGTACATCAACGTGTGCCATAGCCTACAGCCACAATCACTTCCTTCAACCACCATTCAATAGATGATTTGTGATAATCACCACACCTTCATTCTCCCTGTAGTAAATAAACGCATGGTTTAGTGACACCCAACACCAAGCATTGCACAACCCTAATTTCATCACACTTTGAAGTTAAATAATACGAGCCTCCACAATCCCACAAAATTAACTATAATCTCCGGTGACCAACAGGCACTTGCTCATAGCTTGGTGGGGACCACTGGGAGGGGACAGGAAGTGGCAAGCATTCCAGAACACATACAGTACCCGTCGAAAGTTTGGACACACCTACTCATTCAAGGGTTTTTCTTTATTTTTACTAGAATAATAGTAAAGACATCAAAACTATGAAATTACACATATGGAATCATGTAGGAACCAAAGAATGTGTTAAATCAAAATATATTTGAGATTCTTCAAAGTAGCCACCCTGTGCCTTGATGACAGCATTCCACACTCTTGCCATTCTCTCAACCAGCTTCATGAGGTAGTCACCTAGAATGCATTTCAATTAACAGGTGTGCCTTGTTAAAAGTTAATTTGTGGAATTTATTTCCTTCTTAATTCATTTGAGCCAATCAGTTGTGTTGTGACAAGGTAGGGGTGGTACACAGAAGTTAGTCCATCATTACTTTAAGACATGAAGGTCAGTCAATACAGAAAATGTCAAGAACTTTGAAAGTTTCTTCAAGTGCAGTCGCAAAAACCATCAAGCGCTATGAAACTGTCTCTCGTGAGGATGCCACAGGAAAGGAAGACCCAGAGTTACCTCTGCTGCAGAGGATAAGTTAATTAGAGTTACCAGCCTCAGAAATTGCAGCCCAAATAAATGCTTCACAGACTTCAAGTAACAGACATCTCAACATCAACTGTTCAGAGGAGACTGCGTGAATCAGGCCTTCATGGTCGAATTGCTGCGAAGAAACCCCTACTAAAGGACACCAATAAGAAGAAGAGACCTGCTTGGGCCAAGAAACACAAGCAATGGACATTAGACTAGTGGAAATCGGTCCTTTGGTCTGATGAGTCCAAATTTAAGATTTTTGGTTCCAACCGCCGTGTCTTTGTGAGACGCAGAGTAGGTGAACAGATTATCTCCGCATGTGTGGTTCCCACCATGAAGCATGGAGGAGGTGGTGTGATGGTGCTTTGCTTGTGACACTGTCTGTGATTTATTTAGAATTCAAGGCACACTTAACCAGCATGGCTACCACAGCATTCTACAGCGATACGCCATCCCATCTGGTTTGCGCTTAGTGTGACTATCATTTGTTTTTCAACTGGACAATGACCCAACACACCTCCAGGCTGTGTAAGGGCTATTTGACCAAGAAGGAGAGTGATGGAGTGCTGCATCAGATGACCTGGCCTCCACAATCACCCGACCTCAATCCAATTGAGATGGTTTGGGATGAGTTGGACCGCAGAGTGAAGGAAACGCAGCCAACAAGTGCTCAGCATATGTGGGAACTCCTGGTTGAGAGAATGCCAAGAGTGTGCAAAACTGTCAAGGCAAAGGGTGGCTACTTTGAAGAATCTATATTTTGATTTGTTTAACACTTTTTTGGTTACTACATGATTCCATGTGTGTTATTTCATAGTTTTGATGTCTTCACTACTTTTCTACAATGTAGAAAATAGTAAACAAAGAAAAACCCTTGAATGAGTAGGTGTGTCCAAACTTTTGACTGGTACTGTACATTACACACATCCCGCATACACACATAACACACACATCCCGATCTCACACACACACACACAGGAAGAAGCATTGAAACCCTTTGAGGAGTCTTTTTGGTGGGAGAGGTCAGAACATTAGGTCATATTGAGAAGAATGACAGTGGGGCCTTGAGGAATGTACTTGCTAGGCTAAATAACAGGGTCCTCAAGGAAAGTCACAAGATGTCCTTCTGGTCCCTCTAGAGATAGAAATACTATATTGCACAAAGTCAAAGCTATTGCATCAGACTACAGCTTTTTACATTATTTCAGTTTCTAATGAGCATATCTGAACAGAAATAAAGAGAACACAGACTGATAGGACCTTGCACTTGCGATAGGAGATTGATCAAGCAGTTAGCCTAATTAAGAATGTTAGCATTGCTGCATCAGACATCAGGCAGGTGGTTTCACCAAAGACAGTACAGTATGAAGATAGGCAAAAAATACTTCTCCAATAGAAATCCCAGATCACACTTGTAGGCGATGTCATGGCGACATTGGCTAGCTAAGCTCATGTGCAGAAACACATCATCGGGTCTAATGGTCGTCTCACGCCGAACTGCGCATGTGCAGGCCGTCAAATCAAAGGAACTCCTTCGACATAGTTGTTTTTGACGAAAATGAGTTTGTAACTTTCACGAGGTTGGAGTAATATGTTCAACTACTTAAGACCTTGGCTCAAATCAAGGTTGTGCCTTTAGAGTTAGAGAAAATTGACAATTAAGGACTTCTCAAACCTCAAACCCTGGCCTGCTTGGTCTGTTTCGCAAGCGTTCCTGGAAGTCTTGATGTTGTGCCTCTGGGTTTAGAAACTCTGTAGTGTTACTTTCCACACGCACTAGAGATGGACATTGAATGTCAATATTTCCCAGATAGTTGTCACAGCAACCTGTAGCCAGCAGAAGAAGATTGAACGACTGCTAGTTATTAAGTAAACTGCCGTTTTCGTCCTCATGCTAGCTAGCAGTAACCACAGCAGCCATTATGGAACGGCACCTCGCATTGAACAACAAAGGAGATGATTGGCTGACACTCCAATTCCAAAACGGCTGATGTGGCTTCTGCTACCTAGCATGAGGGCAAAAAGGGTAGAAAAACTAGCAGTCCTTCAACCTTTTCGGTGTAGCATTTGGGATAATGGGACAATTCGGAGTACAACACATTTCTCATCCCTGGATTGAGATACGTTTTCCGTGTCTTAAATCTACACAGGAAGCCTGTGTCGGAGACCCTAGTGCAGCTGTAAGCAAGCGGGTCAGGTCTGCTGGCTACAGCAGCCTGGTATGAGCAGTTCTTCTGCCTGGCTACGTGCCTGAAAACCGGACTTTGAATTGCATTTAATTCTACGTCGTGAAATTAGCGTTTGAGTCAGGGAAGTTTCCTCTCACGACCTCTACAAACCAGCATCTTGAATAAAATTATGTTTAAAAGCTGCAATATGTAACTTTTTAGGCAACCTGACCAAATTCACATAGAAATGTGAGTTATAAATCTGTCATTCTCATTGAAAGCAAGTCTAAGAAGCGGTAGATGTTCTGTGCACGCTTTTTCTATGCTTCCCGTTAAGTTTTGTTTTTGCGGCTTTTACTTTCGGTTTTGTAAATCAACTTAAAAACAGCTGAACATACAATATTTTTGGTTATTAAAAAGGTATTTCACAGTGGTTTAGATGGTACAATGATTCTCTACACATTGCTTGTTTCCCTACAAACTGAAATTAGGCGAACTATTAGAATTTTAGCAACCTGGAAATGGCGGAGCGATTTCTGCATATTGCACCTTTAAACATACTCTACCGATTGCTCCACTGTTTTGACGGTTGGAATTAAAGCCAATATCCACAAAAAAGTATAATTAAATGACCTTATCAAAGCACTGGTAGTGCATTCAGATTTCTATCACCTGAAGCATGCAGCAGAACCATGTAAACAAGTGCATGAGCTCGGCATGTATGCATGCATGTATTTTCATAATGTGCACATGCAGCGCTTTGATGTTTATGTAAAGGTTTTGTCACTTTATGTGACAAAACAAAGTCATTGTGTAGAGAATTATTGTACCATCTAAACTGTGAAATATATTTTCCATAAGAAAAAATATTGTATTTTCAGCTGTTTGAAGTTGGTTTACAAAACCAAAAGTAAAAGAAACAAAAGCAAAAGCTAAACTTAACGGGAAGCATAGGAATAGCGTACAGAACAGATCTACGGCTTCTTAGACTTGTTTTCAATGAGAATGACAGATCTAAATAATGTATATGTGAATTTAGTCGGGTCACCCAAAAAGTTACATATTGCAGCTTTAAATTATACTTTCCTGTGGATTTATTTCTCA